TCCCTATTGTGGAGGGAGTTCAGGGAAGCTGTTGGCTCCCTTAGCCTGTCTTTTAGTCTTTTAATCTGAGTGGTGTGAATAGTCTTCAAAATGCCTTTGGGTCTCCCTTTACCCAAAGATTGAGGGAATGCTCCTTTTCATTCTCAGCCACAGGAATTAAACAATAAGATCAAAATCTTGTAATCTCCTTGGGAATTCCTTTTAGCTGTATGGGATCAAAAATGCAGGTCTTACCCTAAATGCCTGGGCAAATGAAGGCAGGGGCTAATCATACAGCTGGCTTTCAATGCAAACATTTCCAATTTCTGGTATGGTGACATTTGTTTGGGATCACCTACGAAACAAATATCTTAATCATTTTTAATACCTATGCACAAGTTTAAATGTCAGTAAGCTAGTTCCTCATTGATCTTATGATCTATTTACAGGGAGAATAAGAGGACCCAGAACCAGAGTAAACTTCATTATTCCCATTTTTTTGACCTTTCATAGTACCAATTTATGGAAAGGACCATCCTATAAAATAGAATCACAGTAGGGTCTCCAAACAGGTAATATTGAGTGTTTTGCTCAGTAAAAATAGTATGACTAAAGATTTTGAATTTACAGCAGTATTCCCTCTGCCTCAGTGCTCTGTGGAACACAGTACAAAAAACAACCACGTATTGTGTGAAAACTGCTGTCTTTATTCTTCACCAAACAAATCTTTTAAAACACATATATCTGTACTGCAGGAACGTGCAGGGGAAAAAAATCCTAGATCTTCATTTAAAAAGAGATGCAAATTTTATATTTGCAATTCTATTTCTCTTCTTGGAAAATGCTCCCCTACAATTTCCTTGTGGCAGCTAAAACACCAAAAGGAAAATACTTGACAGCCTTTAGGTGTGCTTGTTCTCCAGTCTGAGTGTGCGGAGGTGCAGATGAGGACTTTGGATTTGAGGGGAAAAAAGTTTGTGAGTGAAGTTCAGCCTACGTTGCGGATTGTTTTGCATGTTTCTTACAATATCAGTATCACAAACTGAAATTGCTTACAACTTCCCCTGCCTTTCCACTTTGATGTTTTTCCCTTAGATGTACTTTTAGTTGTGTATATCCCACGTCTTGTTCTGGCCGTCACTCAGAGAGAAGAATGTTGGGTCTTTACTGTATGACTTACTGTACCGCCTTCGCTGCAGGAACTGTCTTTACAACAAAAGGTCTGAAGGATTGGAGAGGAAACGTGCAGTCATTCTGTCCAGTTATGAAAATTGCTGTGAATGCAAATTATCTCTAGCTTTATAGAAAGCATTTTCTATTGAATGCCAATAGTGCCTTCAATAGTGAAAGGCATATCGAGTTATTTGCATGGTTAAACTGGTATAAGGGAAGGTCTTGATTTGTTTTGTTCTGTATCACTTTTGGGTTTTAACCTTAAACTAAGAAAGAAATCCATGGAAATATGTTTGAAACTTTAAGTGACCTACTTGCAACTTTGCTTTAGATTTGTTAAAAGATTTTCAAACCTTCCAATTAGGTTCATCATTGAGATGTCATCGTAGAAATAAATGTAATATTACCGTTTGCTGTAAAAACTTCCCGCAGTTCTATTAACAAGTTTCCCATGATGTAATTAGAAAGAAGGTGCAGTGTTTTCTTTGGCATCCGTGGGTAAAATGCTCTGCATACTTATGCTACTATAAACCCAGGGCAACTCAGTTCATTTTCATTATTTTAGACTTAGTTCACATGGAATTTGGCTATACCTTTATCTATAGCTGGATATCTTCCCTAAGGAGCAAATACAACAAAGGTTGCACATTTTCTTTAGATTTCATATAGGAAGACACTATTCTCAGTATCAAGGAGGTTGCTACTATTCTAACCGAGGTAAATATCTTTTAAGTCCAGATTCAGGTAGGGTTTGTAGATGTGTCCATAACTTGCTTGAATAAGCTGGAGCATGTGCAAGTGCTGAAATCAGGGCCTTCAGGCCTCTCCTCTATGCCTCTTATTCCTCTTGCTTTGCTAATCTGTTACCTGAGGTTCATGGTCAAGAACCATTTTGCAGTCTGATGCTACGATTCTATCAGAAAACATTTATCTCCTTCTCATTTGAGCCACCCAAAATCTCTGGTAGCAGCAAGGTTGGGGCTTGTGCGAGTTTTTCTGTACCACTGCCATAGGAAGATGACTTTGGACTGTGATACCAAACACAGGCACGTTCATTACTGCTTCTCACAAAACACAAGAACTGCTTTGGACTTGGAATCTGACTACCATTTCTCGTCCAGAGAAGCCTGTACACAAATGGGCTTTGTATAATGCCTTGTTGCCTTCTTTCTTTCTTCTATAAATGAATAGCAAACAAAAAGAAAGGGAACTAGAAGGGGAAAAAATTAAATTTTAATGGAAACACATTTCATTTGTTTTCTGCTTGCCATAAAACATTAACATATTAAACAAATTGATCTTTGCTCTTAAATTCTTTAACAACATACAGTATTTTGAGTTTTGCCATGGCTAAGGTATGGTTAAACCACATTGTATTGCTGGTCTCATTCAAACCTCTATTGTCACAGTACTTTGACATCAAACTACATGTCTTAGAATAAAAGTTTTGTGTAACCCACTTCTGTTCATAGACACCTTCATTAAAAGGTCACCCTTTTTGAGGGATGTTTCAGTACATTAGTGATAATGGTGTTTTCTGACTAAAACTGCTTTTTTTTGGGACATAGTTCAAGTCCATGCATTTTTGTGGTTAGCCCCTGCTTTGTGCCATACAGTACCTTTCTGAATGCTGCACACCCACGAGAGCAAAGCTGCTACAAGATGCTCTGAAATGTTACATTCTAGACAGCTAATCCATTCTTAGGACTGTTACAATGGTGATACAATAGCTGACAGAGCTATTTGAAATAGGGGTATGTGAAAAAAAGAGAAAGTGTCACTTTGGTCCACTTTACAGAGTGGTTGGTGTTATAATATATAACCTTTTTTTTTTTTAATGCAGTGTAGTTCACAATAATTTAAAATACTCTATAGACATTTAAACGATATACAATAATATAACTTAATTGGATTCCTCAATTGTACTTAACAAATACTATTCTAATATATTTACAGTATCTAGTACCATAAGACTGTGCATTACTGTGCTTGGGAGCTTTATTTGCTCCCTGTCAAGAATGTAAGTACAGTATATCACTATTATTCAACAACTATACCCATGAATCAAAGGGATTTTAAATTATATGGAGTGATTCTAGCGTTTTTGGGGGCTCTGTTGACTTTTATGGAGTTGCACTCGTTCACTTCAAGGCTGGTATTTAGAAACCAACAGCAACAACGAAAAAAATGAGCTCTTCAATTTTGGATTGCTCTGTGGGAGACTCACCAAAGGTGTCTGATTTTCAGAGGGTAAGTTCTTGGGGTCAGAAAGTCAGGTCCTCATGAGTGTTCAGATGAAGGTCCCCAAGTGATTAGTTACTTTTGATAATACAGGTCCATAAATTGCGGAGGTAATCCTGGCTCATTCACATATCCATCATGGGAGCTGGCGGAGCAGTAACTCCACCAGCCCCTTGCCCCAGGAGCACCATGTCATGTGGCAAGTGCTCCCATGTCAGGTGGGGAGGGCTCATGGCTGTGCAGACCCTCAATAAAATTAATAAAATAAAACAAAAGCTAGAAATGAAGATATGCAGACATTAGGAAATTTTTAATACAAGTTTTCAGAAAATCAGGTAGGGACCCTTGCTACAAGCAAACATCTATGTGATTAAATGTGCTGTGTTATAAATGGGCATATCTAGCTCTTGGGGTTAAAAACACTAGATTTTACAGTAGTAATATATCTGAGGATTTTTTTTTTTAAATCTCTCATAGGGAAAAGGTGTGTGAATTATAGGCTGCTGGTGTAAAAAGTCAGCTTCTTCCTTAACATTCATCTGTTTACCAGGGGATACATTATTGCCAACCTTAGAATAATGATGACACAGACTAAACCAAATTTTAGCTTTCTTATGTTTGTGAAGCCACCACAGCTCACAGGTTGCAGCAACCTAGAGCTCAGCTACCATATTATTAACTTCTCAGTGCATACTGAGCATAAGTTATTTAAAACTATTGAGAATATTAACTTTCAACCATTAAAGGCAAATGCAATGCTTGGAAGATCCTGCCAATACATTTGATGGCAAAGCAAAACCTTTGATATTTGTTGAAGAATGTCTTTATATCCTAAAACTCCCTACAAGGAGCTGAGGGCAGGTGCTCCACGCCTCAAGCCTGAGTCTAAAAGTCATTCTTATCCAGGAGGTAAGTGGGAAAAGTCTTTATCAAGCATTTGTAACCACAGTTTCACGTGATCTTTTTGCTCAGCTCTGGTAATTGCTTAAGGCCTACAGTAATTAAACTCTCTAATAGTGGAGTGACAATAGATCAGTAGCATTGAAGAACTTAGGGAGAACCAAATACAAAAATCATAAAGTCAGAGTTCCAATAAGTTTACATTTAGTACAGAATTAAGACATATCTACCCGTTAGTGCTTAGAAATTTTTGATACTATTAAAAACATAAATAATTATTTTTAATGTTCATTCAAAGAGTTCCAGTGTCACTGGCAGTTGATGTAATTTTGTGAATGTTATGTTTTTTCCAAACTGATAGTGGAGTATTTCCGCCATAGATTTTGTCTCCCTACCAGTTGTTTTCTCTCTACCTGCTTTCTTAGAGATTTGGGTGCTTGCAGCAAGACTGCTGTGTTCTATTCAGTGAAGATTTCATTTCCTTAAAAATAATTCTTTATTTGCACAGGGCTCGGTATTTTTGTTGTTGTAAAATAGGAGAAAGTGGTTTTTTTCTTTTAAATTTCATGGGAGCTGCAATGTAATCAGCTTCTCTGATATGTATAATTTAAAACACTTACTAGGAGAACTCTACAACACCCAGATTGTAGTTTGTTGTGGTTTGTTTTGGTTTTTTTTAAAAAAAAAGGAGAGAAAAAGTACCATGTGGTTGTCAACATCGCCTTAATCCTGTTGCCCTTGTTTCCAAAGCAGTTACAACAGCCAGCCAACCAAAATGCACCATCCTTAAAAGTGTAAGTAGTGGGGAGGGATGGGTTGCTGTGGTCTTGGTTGGGTTTGTTGGGTTTTTTTCCCCAAAGAAGATTAGATGTGCAAAATGATGCTGTCGTCGTTTGTTGTACTCCACTTTCTTCACTCGTGGTGATTTGTTCTGTTCATTTGCACGTGATGCCGTTATTTGCAGGTGAACACCTCTGTCCGCTCGCTACATGTGTTGCACTTCACAAAGCAGCACCAGTGGAATTTGCAATTACATTGCCACACCTTGGTGTACTGGTGTGTGTTGTACCCTCTTCCACAGCACATCATGTCGCACCCGTCCGCATTGGGAGAGGTACGGTTGCAGAGTCGTCCCTGGGTGCCGACACTCCCGGTGGAAGCATCTTCCTCACAGTAGTTGGGTGACTTTTCAATATACACTAAATCTGTTTCCATGGGTTTCTGGTAACTCTTAATCTGCTTGATCTTCAGGAAGGTTGGCTGTCTTAGTCTACTGGCTCGTACCACCTCCACCTGCACTGCAGCATTGTATTTCTCTTTCAAAATATATCCGATCTCTCTGAATTTAGGAAGCGTGGTCCAGCAGGTCTTAGTTGTACAGGAACCTGAAACTCCGTGGCACTTGCACTCCAGTTTCATTCTCTCTTCAAGAACCTATGTGTAGAGACAGTTGCATATTGTTACTGAAGGAAAATGGTATTGCAAGCTTGCCTAAATCTCAACCTGTTTAGTTCATATGAATATTCATTACTGCTGGTTGAAATTTTTCAAATGCATGCTCATAAGTCTCCTCACCTCTCAGAAGAATGCTTGTAATACATTTTGTTTTATGTGGCACTTGGTTGGAAACTAGGCGTTTTGTAATGTTATTAGAAAAAATTGCCATTCTGTTTCCAAATATTGGAGCATATTTACTTAAATGTCAGAAGATATGTCTTTAGAGCCAAGTAACTCATGGGGCTCCAGTGACTTGAAAAAAATTTTTCAAACCATTTTCATTTTGAAAACAGAAAAACAAAAAGTTTTAAGATTCAGAATATTTAATCTTAATTGCTTTAAGTAATGTTCAAAGAATTTTTAAAAAATGTTGACCAGCTTTAATGTCACAGAACAATATATACTATGTGACTGAATAGGCATTCATGTTCACTGCATAATCAAAATTTTTGCCTATACTGGCAGTGGTAATACCAGCATACCTATTAACTATTGCACAGAGCACACCATCCCCTTTAAAAGCAGCACTCCTTGCAGTGTCTAGCCCAATTATCAAGCAAATGCTCAGCCACAAACACTTTTTTTGCACCAGGGCAACAATTGCACAACATTAGAGGAAATAAAATCCAGTGAAGGGTCCTGCTAGGCTGTGGAGACAGACGTATTTACTATTCCTATTGCTAGAGGAGGTTGACCTGCGGGAAGTTAATCCAGCATCAGATGGTCCCCATAAGGGACCCAAACTGGTGGGCACTTGGGCTCACGCTCCGCTCCCAACCTCCCAGCTCCATGGCTGGCACATCCCTCCTTCCCTGGGCAGGGGTGAATGACCAGGGGAAGACAAGCAGATGCCCGCCAGCTCTGTGTGCGCGGTGGAGGGGAAACCAGCCTCACGGAAACGCCTCTCTGTTTTTCTGCCCTCGCGCTACCACTTAAGCCTGACCACAATTACACCCACAGTCATCGTTAGCTTATGAAAATCAAGGTCTAAGAACAAAGCAAACTGATCTTTCCCCTTCTCAGTGGGATGCTAACAAAGAAATATGAGCTACCAAGCTTGTCTTAAAGCATTACTGATGCTGCAGACCATCTCCTGTAGTGGTTTCGTTGCAGATCCCAGAACATGACTGAAATGGGCAGAGGATAAAAGGGCCGAAATCTGAGTACAATGGCATAATGAAGTAGAAGGGAAGTAAAAAATGCTTACTGCTTAAGAAACTGGCCTTAAAATAAAAGCTGTACAGATCTGGTTATCCCTGCAAATAGAGGGCACCCTCCTGAGTTGTTTGAGTTTCACTTAAATTGTATGTTTTGTTTTTTCCCAAATTTCTGGGGTTTCAATATTAAAGAGAATATTTGGTTTTGATTCTCCCTTACCAATGTACAGTAGCAAGTACAAGATAGCTGAGCATCCTGCTCAAAAATACCTTAGACCATCTGCAACCACAGGCTTTTCCCAGGTCAAGGTCAAGTTAGCCTTGCAGAGGCAGGAAAGGTGATTTCCAGGAAGGTTTACTGGATTAGGGAAAAAACTACTATAGCTACAAGTACTCTAAAAAGAAAATCAGCAAAGCTATGACAAGCTGCTTTTTGTCACTGCTCTCCAACAAACTGTATCACCTTCTTGTCTTCCCTATGGGAAAAAAAGAAGCTGGAAAACTTGATGCCTTCTGCTGTGGCGGTGGCATTTCAGTAACAATGCGTAGAGGGATGCATTATGAAATACTCCAGGGTCTTTCAGGATTACTCTGTCTCTATTTCATGCCTGTGCAGAAGGATGTGATTTTTCAAAGACCCCCAAACAAGATGCCAATCCCCTTCCACAAATCTGGGTTAAAATAATCTATTGATATTTATAAGCATATATGTATATACGTATATACATGCACACACATACATATATATATGTAAATGGCTTATAAGTTTTCCTTGATATTGATGAAATACATTTTTTTTAAACTAACCTCTTTCTACAGCTCTCTCTTTCAGCCACCGATCAACATACAGTTGCAGCCACAAGCAATGCAGCCAAATCCATGACAAAAGGTGGATGGAGGCAACCTCCTCTACACCTTCACCACAAAGCACTATAGGATCTAAGGACTTCCAGGAAAGCATTGCCAATGGGATGGATCTGCTCCTCTTCTCCCTAAGTGGTAAATCTTGGTGAAGAGCAGGCTTGTGGTTTAGTATGCATTTTGTCACATTCCACACATGTTTGTGATGGAATGTGTGCTTTTTGATCAAAAAGATCAAATCAGTAACTTGCTCAGAGTGGGAGGAGGTGAAGCTTGTGAGGCTCCTTATTCTTGTGTGGGCTCAACACTCTGGACACTATTCCAAGGAGCCTCCATCTCTGTAATTGATGTGCTTCCCTGCTACAACAGGAAGTGCCATTGTTCCTGAAAGACAAAGATACCACCCATTCTGGTGTTCCAGGTGATAGCTTTGCATGTGTATCTTTAAATATGGATCTGTGTCTGTATGTTTACCTGTGTTTGTGCATTTGGTTGAGATGCTACCATTTATCAACAGCACTGCCTGGCATCCTCTGCAGTAAAATCTCCAGCTGCTTTATCCTAATTCTTGATTTTTTTGTTGTTGTTGTTGTCTTTTGAAGATCTACTTTTGTGAGTCATACAGAAATCTGATTTCACTACTGTATTTTTTTAAAGGTGCCCACTGTTTATGGTGGTGGAAGAACTTGCAAATGCAAACCACGCAGGCTCAAAAAAAGCAGAAGTTTCAAAGAGTATTAATTCATGATCCTGAAGCCAATCTCGCAGGTTTTTTTATTTTTTTTGGAGGCTTCTCTCATGAATGTGGAATGCTTGGGGTTACAACACTGAGCATAGGCCCAATCATCAGGTAGTTAAATTCCTGAATGCTATAATTTGTGTGCCCACAGTCAGCTGTGGGTATAAAATTGTGCCCAAAAACTTGGAGGTCAGGGAATCCAAGGCCCGAACTAAGCAGATTCTAAGCAAGATTCTCTTT